GATCTGCTCTCAGGAGGTTGATTTATCGAATCAGAATACTCAGATGACATAGTCCTGTTAGATGAAGACGCTGATAAAATGTTTAGACTAAATGGTTATACCTTAACTATCCGTCCATGAATATCGTGTGCTCTTCTTTTCGTCCTTCCTTTTTCTTACACTTTTTTTCAGCCCCCCCCCTGGAGATACCCAACCTAAAACATATATGGCACGGACTACTTCGTCCTACACAGTTATTAAAGCCTCAGATATTCCGGAGGGATATAAGGTCGAAGCTTATAAAAGCATTCTTAACAGCTCTCTTTACAGAGCCTGTATGTTTATTCCTGCAATTAATCGACCCCTCAGCTGCACATATGATAATCAAAATTGCATTTGGCAGCTAGTCTTTGCAACTCGCGGATGAGTTCACTAGCCTTTTGGTTATTGTGATTAGTCATCTTATGAAAGTTTGCTACCTCATGACCTCGAAACTGGTACAATTAGTAGTAGTTTCTTAAGAATTGTATGTGAGATAAGCTTCTCTGAACATGCAAAAGTTCTTTATAAACTATAGGCTTCTTTACCGATGAACGGGAAGAAATGTGTCACAATTTTATCACACTTCACATCTTTCTTGGTCTCGCTCTACATCTCAAACCTTTCCAAATAATCCTCAAATGCTTCAGAAGATAAATGAATGTCCAACTATTCCATCGCAGGCAACATTGCGACGCCAATGTGATGATTAGAAGTGTTATAAAACGGTAGGATACTTGATATAACGCTAGGATTTCTTGTTATAATAGTCCTTTCACTTTTACACGTATGTGGGACATTAATTTACCTTAGACGAATATCTACACTAGATTCCCGCCCAGTGTCTATTCTACAGGACTTCAACACAACTAAGATCAAGAACATGTGATTAGCCTGACTAGAACGTCAATATATTTCCACACCAAAATCCAACAACAAGAACAGTTAATCAATCATAATCAGGATAGGGGAATGTATAACACCTGTCACATTATCTAATGCTTGACTCAGCAAAACAACGGATTATTATCATTCTCACCCACACACCAAGAAGTATTTGAATTATAGTACAAACTATGAATCCCAGGAATAACGTGATTTAACCAAGAAGTATTAGATGAACAAGAACGAACGTATTGTATTTGGAATTCGGAATCAAGTACAAAAGAATCGTTAGTTCATACAAGCACCACACTGAATCAATAAATTACTATCAACCTTCGTTGTCGATGTCATTCATGTATATGGGACGCGAGAATGGATTTGAACTAATGATCGATATACTGTGTCCTAAGTTATATAATTTTACTGTTTGTCACTGGAAATGTGCTAAATTTTCTTGTGGTCATGAAATATCAGTGACCAAACCAAGCGAGTGTTTAAACTCAGAGATGAATGTCGAGTAATACAAAAGGAAGATACTTTGTTTATCATTATAAATTTTAGGTGGCGAAGTATTAAACTATCAGTGAAACAACATCAACAAACTATTAGTTTGTGAATGGTAAGTGGTCGTTTAGGGTAACATGACAAACAGAAGGTATATAAGAGCGCGTGAGTACTAAATTCAAACTGGTATCCAGTCTGTGGTAAAAACTAAGGAAATATTGGACATAGAGAACAGTCATTCGGTGAAAAAGCCAGTTTACCAGTAATAATTTCCTTGATAGGTAAGTATTTAGTTCGGTGTGGGTTGGAAAAGAACTTGATGATCGATTATCACGTGCAGTCACCACAGCTTTCCAACAGCTACACCGATGCTTCCTGAATCCCTCACATCATTATTCAAACCAGAGTATGCAAAAGATGAACTGTATCGGTCTAAGTGATGGTTCGAATACCTGAAAGACAAAGTTGATGGGAAGTATTGAAGACGCCGCAACGATAGCGTTATGTAACGACTAAAGGTGCCTACTGGCGAATGACACATAATGAAAAAACATCCACATCTACATTAGATTTTTTAGAGAAATGCTTTATATTAGAAGTGCCGGACAGCACAATACATAGCTAAGAATTCTCTGTCCATAGTGCTATGCCTAGACTCAGTGTCTTGAAACTAATGGAAAAGAATGACGAAGGTTCCCAAGCATTTTGTTCATCGTTGCATTACTGCTCCGATTGCTGAGTCGGACATGCATATGGAGGTACTAATGAGTGCTTTGGCGTCGTGTACCAACGAAATTGCTTCACTGTGGAAGACGCTCAATTTCCGTTGTCATCCAGTTTCATGAATTTTGCATTGACGGGAAGTCAGACAGTTAGAGATCTCACAGGAATCTTATAATTTGGTATGAACTGTCAATAAAAGCGTATCCGCCCACTGGATAGGCACAGGTGCTCGACTGTGATCATCTCAGGTAAATTCAGAGTGAACTATACTCAATTTTTCTGACAGTGAATACGTTGTAAGTCAATATAATCCCCGATAAAATACAGAAAGTTAGTCCCGGTTCAAAATTTTTGAACTTCTACAGCACTTCCGTGTTTTGTGTTCGTTTTTAAACAGGGTCTAGATGATAGACATGGGATTTCCTGCTCAAACTGGTAAACAGATAGTCACCAACAAGTTGGTGCGTAAAGTCAAGACCATCAACTATGTTACCAGTGAATCTGTGTAGATTTTGCACATCATTTTTATTCCAAAGTCCATAAGCATATTTCTTATCGACATAGGGGATTGATAGCAGTTGCTTCCTCAATATCGTTTTCAGTCAATAAAATTAGGTTACACGCTCTAATTCGACTTCCGGTAAGATAGTCGCACTTTTCTAGGTATCTTGCAGACCATGACTGTGGCAAGGAATATGACCGGATGTGGTTTCCTTATTAGGTCATCGACAAACACCTTTGTAGAGATCACATACTAAGGAGATCCGTATGGATAGTGGTTGTCAGATAATGCTTAAAACTGTCCATGTACAGAACCAGCTTTTTGGTGTTATCAGACGCACTTTCGAGAAAGCGGGTGGCATCATAGTCATGATGCAGTATGTAAAATTGACGGTTCCCCATGTTAATTTCGATTGCAGTTTATGGCGCTGGGAAGATTTGTCGACTTTTGTTTGGAAGTATGGGTCGATGATTAACCTTACTCGTACATAATCGACAACCAGAAAACTGAGCCTCACAAATAAAAAGTCAATTGTTGCCGTCTACTAATCTCCATTTGCTTAGTGTGAAGAGTATGTTATGTTCTCTCAGGTATCTGACAATTATTTGAAGTGACAACTGAAAACAAAGATCTAGTGCATAGTTTTGCGTGAAAACATAGGCAGCTGAACGTATCTCTTGCTATATGTTGAATGGATTTTCCGTCTCGAATATGAAGAGTGAACACCTGGTTTGTTCACAATCGTTCGAATTCATGTTAAAGACACTAACTTCTGCCCTAGTGTCGAAGAAATCGAAAACGTTCATCATCACATCTGTGATGTATGCCTGCCGTGCTAGCAAAGGTCTTCAGAAGAATTAGTGATCGTGAAAGTAGCTTCAAGTTTGGGGAGACCACGACAGTCTGCTGAAGTCCCGATATGACATACGGTAGGTGTTTTCGTACAAATATAATCAACGGCAATACATAAGTCGGTTCATTTCACTCAACCACTTACGCCTCCTGGCATTATTCTGACAATAAAGAGACTCTGCCACTGACTTCAGCTTGGTAACATATACTCACTGAACTACAAATGCGAAATTCCTCATCGAGAATAACTGAGATCTCAGTTTATATAGTTTTTTTTAATTTTTTGTGTAACGGAAAACAGGAACATTATTTCCGGTTCATATCTCCACACGACCTCGGCCGTTCTCCAATTGACTATTACCATTTCTAACTTTCTTGTATTCACAGATCATATTAAGCATGTACATAATTGTTTTACTTCAATCATAACTTTGCTGTGCACCAACCTTCTCTTGCATATGTCTTCTCACTGGATTCATATTCGTTGGGATAATTGCTGAAGTATTGAGTACTTCACCAGACATGTTACCTGAGTTCTAGCTTGCATTATGAATCTTATAAGCTTAACCCAAATGAATGGATGCGTATAGTGTAAATTCGTACCAACATTAAATGGATTCCATTTAGCTGACAGGGTGAAGAAATAAGTATCAATAAGAGCATGTCGTGAAGTAAACACTATTAAAATACATATCTATCAAGGCAGCTGGATACAGCCACTGGCCTCACCTCAAAACACGACTTTTATAACTACGTGTGACATAGGCTATGGAGTGCAACAGAAGTGTTCATCGACCGTCAATGTGTTAAAGAACTTTAATTCTCTTAATATTCCCACTTTGGTCTATAACATGTTTGGGAACCTTTTTTGACGTAATTGCAACCACTGAAGATGTAATAACTTCTTTACATAAACTACCTATTTTTGGGAAAGATAATACTCCACCATCTTGTTAACTGCTTTATAATTTGAAAAGAGATTCTATGCTCACTCACTCTAATTGAAACAAATTATCCTAACCTGATTGACTATATCATGTAACATCCGAAATTTACGAAATAAAAGACAGTTATAAAACAGTTTCACAATACGTCTCCTGGTCAATTTTTTGATTGCTTGAACAAGGATAGAACAGAGTGGTTTTTAATCGTACTACATTATAGAACTTGGAACAATATTTTGGAAAATGATCATTTGTTAAAATCCATTAAACTCAGCCTAGTCACGTCTTTAAATTAACCGTTTGGTCATTCACGATTAACCAACAACTCTCGCTTTTCCAAAACTAGATCAATGTTAACAATAACTATTGAGCGTTATTCCATCGGTTAGGTGACATTCGCTTACTTCAACGTAATTATAACCGAAGATGGTATTAAATAACTTTACCGATGTTAAAAGTAGAATCTGGTAAACGTGATTCAATATTATATTCAACCCAACTAAGTTGAAAGGGATGAATAAAAACTAAGCAGGTCATCACTACACTAGAAACACCGACAAAAACAAACAGCTCATTCAAAAAGCATATTTTTTACAAGTTGAATTTGAACGACACGACAACAATTTAACGACTAAATCATTTCATCATTTCGACTGTAACTGATATCCGTAGAACAAACGGCCATTTGACAAAGTGAAAAAGAGGTACTTATAAGTCTGAGAGGAGCACAGAACGAGTGAAAAGACTGTTGAAGAGAATGAGACCATGAACATGAAAAACGAAATGACCCAAAATTTTAGAAGTGTTTTACTCTACATTGGGTTTCCTTAAATGACAACGAAAACCATTAAGTACTACTTAGAAAGTTGCAGCAAAGAGTATAATATGTAAATTTACAGATATAATGTTAACTGAAAGATCCAAATGTCATACTAACCACAACGACTGAGTACAATTTCGTATATAATAGATTGTGGAACTACACAAAAATCATATGTATATATATCAATTGTCGAAGTTACTTTATATCGAGGATAGAAAGGACAAATAAGTAGTAAAATGAATGATCAAATAAAAGTAGATTATAAAAATGAAGATGAACTCATTTGAATATTCATTCAAGTGGTAGTTGATCGATGTTTATATTGAATAACCAAGACAATCCAATGACAACGTAACAAATAGACGACCTGAGGGAAATTTTTGGAAGAAAAGACACTAAACTGACTAGTGACGAGTAAAGTGTTTACTGCTGTAGCGAAACAAAAAAAAATTGAAAGTAGGGTAATTGTTTTTTGTTTTCTGGTTGCGTCTACTTTATTACAAGACACGGTATTAATCTATGATGTTTATCGTTGGACTAAGGGGCGATGCCAGGTGTTTGGACCAATTGATTGACGTTTGTTTAATAACCGACTGCGACTGCTACCTTGACGTGTTCAGTCAGTTAAAACGTAGAACTTCGTACGTACGTACATCAGTTCGAGTTGCCATACCACATTAGCACAGAGATGAAGTTGTCAATTCAAATCCCATATTGGTAGAAGTAGTAAGAGTATAAGTATTATGTGAAAGATAAGGGTTTGAAGATGTTATTCAAGGAGTATAATACAGTGAAATAAATTTGGAAAGAGAAAAAGGATACGGACATGAAGAATTCAGAAGATTAGGATTTAGTAGAACACAAAGAGTGGATGCACCTTCGCCATTGCAAACGATTTTGAGCCATGTCATTCAAGGTCTCTAACCATCGGTTTTTATCATCTCGCGAATCCCAACCAGGTAGTCTACACCTACCAACACTGCCCAGTCCACTTGTCAGCGACTTCATGGATCTATGCCACGTTTTGGTATGGCCGCCCCTAGCTTTCTTCCAACCTGCTCCTACACCATAAAGCATTGCACATCGGGGCAGTCGGTGGTTGGGCATACGTAACACATGTCCTAGCCATCTCAACTGATGAAGTTTCAGTACTTCATCAATCGATTTGCCATCCTTACATAGTACCCGTTTCCTAACAACTGCAGTACTTACTCGGTGGTCCTAGGATATACGAGCAATGCTTCGAAGACACCTGTGCTCGAAAACTAGCAGCCAACGAATATCCTCTACTCTTATCGGCCATGTTTCACTGCCATAAAATAGGACGGAACGAACTGCTACACAGAAAACCCGTCCTTTGGTTGCTAGACGGATATCTCGCCTACGCCATAAATGACGCAAGTTGGCGAAAGCACCTGCCAGGGAAGTCCTACTCACTGCCTTCTCGTGGTAGGGGTGTTGTTTACGAAAGTGAGAGGACGAAAAGCGAATGTCCGGCGCTTTAGTCGGGTTGGTGGACACGGAGGGTCCACCTAGGGGAGTTGGAAAACCCTGATTCCAAACCAATGGTGCACATGGGCTCCAGTATCCTGATGGAACGAATGGCGGACGAACCTGTCATTGGTCAACGGCTACCATGGGACTGCATCACCTCACGATGCTCCACTGCCTTGTGGATCAGACCTTTAGGTCAAAGGCTCGGGGTGTGGCCCCCTAAGAAAACCAGCTGCTTCGGTTTGGGCACCCGGGCAGTATCACAGCCCATACACAAATTACATGAAAGGACGCACTACACTAACTACACTGCTCTCGTTCCTAGTAGAAGAAAGACAATTTACATTATTACTATTACCATTATTATTATTATCATTGTTATTACTATTATTATTACTATTATTTACTACGTCGCTTTTTCACTCCCTTTATTCCAAAATTATGTACCCTTCCTTTCCAACTTATGCAGTAGCTCGCCCATGGTGGAAACTCTGTCCTATCTAAACGATCTCCAGTCACTGTCTGATTGAAAGTGAATGCTTCCACCGATTATGAATACTGAAGCAGTTTTTCTGAAACCGCGTACACCGTTCAAGCTGGCTTCCTTCAACGTTCGCACACTAATGCATATCAGACAACAGATGGGGCTGGCTATGTCTTTAGAAAGTCTTAATGTTAATGTTTGCTGTCTATCCGAGACCCGTATTCAAGACTTTGTGGCATCTTCGTCTGGTCTTGCAGGCGTTGCACTAAGCGCTAGGGCTGAGGCAGCACTAATCGATTGGATCCCCATTAACAGTCGGTTATGTGCTGTTAGATTAGAAAGTTCCATCAAAGTGAGAAGAAATCGGCGTGAGAAACGGTGTCTTTTCGTCATCTCCGCCTATGCCCTGACAGATTGCAGCCCGGATGCAATCAAGGATGAGTTTTACCACCAGTTAACAGTTCTTCTCCAGAAAGCGCGTTCGACAGATATTGTAGTACTAGTCGGAGACTTGAATGCACAGGTCGAGCGTCCATGCACAGAAGAGTCGTTTAGGTGGCCGATGGGGACTTGTTGGTCGCAGGACAGATAACGGGGACCGTTTGTGGCAACTGTGCACAGACCACAACCTGTTTCTGGCCAGCACTAACATCTCTTGACGTCTTGGACGATGGGCGGCATTTTTTGAAGGGCAGTTCAACTGGCCTGCTGCTCCGGCAACATCAACCAGTTTGTCCTGCCCCCCATGGCTGGTGACGACTGATCCACCAAACGAGGCGGAAGTCCTCAAGGAACTCCAACTCTTGAAACGTTACAAATCACCAGGCCCAGATGACTTACCTCCGGCTCATTTTAAAGATGGTGATGACCTTCTGACTAAGGAATTGACCGTGTTGTTTGGAAAGGTTTGGGAGCAAGAAAGTGTTCCAACATCATGGAATGAGTCGATAGTCGTCCCTATCTTTAAAAAGGGTTCACGTTGTTCCTGCAATAACTATCGGGGGATAAGTATACTTTCGATTGCGTCCAAACTATTGGCTTCTGTCATTCTTCGTAGGTTGTTTAAAACCCGAGAACGATTGACTCACGAGGAGCAGGCTGGTTTTCGTTCTGGTCGAGGATGCATTGATCATATCTTCACCCTCCGCCAAATGTTAGAACACCGTCATACTTATCGCAGGCCAACAATCGTAGTGTTTCTTGATATCAGGGCGGCCTTCGATTCGTTGGACAGGACTGTTCTCTGGGATTGTCTATTGAAGAAGGGTGTGTCTGGGAAGTTCATTAACATCTTAAAGGCCCTGTATACGAACACCTCAGGCAGAGTGAGGGCATACAACCACCTTTCTCCCTTGTTCCGTTCGAGCAGTGGGGTTAGGCAGGGTTGCCCGATCCACCACTCCTCTTCAACTTTGCCATCGATGGCATCCTGGGAACAGCTCTGATGGATATAAGTAATGGCGGTGTGGATCTGCTGCCTGGAGAAAGACTTCTCGACCTTGAGTATGCGGATGATATTGTCTTACTGTGCGATAATGCCCAAGGCATGCAATCCGCACTTAATCAGTTGGCAATCAGTGTCCGCAGGTACGGCATGTGCTTTGCACCTTCCAAATGCAAAGTACTCCTACAAGACTGGCAGGATTCTCATCCTGTACTCACCCTGGATGGTGAGCAGATTGAAGTAGTTAAGAAGTTCGTGTACCTAGGTAGCTATATAAGTGCTGGTGGTGGCGTGAGTGATGAGATTGATGCACGTAAAATGAAAGCCAGAGCGGCTTATGCCAATCTGGGCCATCTTTGGCGCCTTCGTGATGTTAGTCTGGCTGTAAAAGGTCGCATCTACAACGTGTCGGTGAGAGCAGTTTTGCTCTATGCTTGTGAAACCTGGCCTCTCCGAGTTGAGGATGTTAGACGTCTCTCTGTGTTCGATCATCGTTGTATCCGAAGGATTGCTGACATCCAGTGGCAACACCATGTTAGTAATGCAGAGGTTCGGCATCGTGTGTTTGGGCGCAGAGACGATAATTCAATTGGTGTCACCATCTTGAAACACCGACTTCAGTGGCTTGGACATGTTTTACGAATGTCGTCCCAAAGACTTCCACGTCGTGCATTATTTGCCGACCCTAGGACTGGTTGGAAAAAGCGGAGAGGAGGTCAGTGTATGACATGGTGTCGTGGCATGAAAGAAAGCTGCAAAGGGCTAGCTTCTGTTGGTCCTTCACGACTCCCTGGCTGGGGTCCGAGAGATGGTGCGACACAGTGGCTAGAGACGTTATCAGATATGGCTCAGAATAGAAGCCAGTGGCGATCCTGCCGCAACCTTCTTTTACTTTCTACATAAAGAATGGTTCTAACTTTCTTAACTGAAAGACTCTTCTGGTTGTACATTTCAGTCCGCCTTATCTTATCATACTTTCTCTTCCTACTTTCATTATCTTGTGTGGCGCATATGTATCTGGTGCCCTTTTGTACGAATATATGTGTTTAAATAAATAAATAAAATAATAGATCACAAGGGCTGATGAGACTCCCAAAATAAGTGAAGCAGTCAAAAAGCTCGACTGCTCCACTCCTATCATTAGTTCAGGTGTCGATGCAATCCAATCCTGAAGTAACATTTTGCACTTCGAGGGAGAGAATCGTATCCCGAACATGCTTGCATAGTTGCTTATAGTGGTCAGAAGACTCTGCATTTTGTCAGCGTCTTCACCAAATAAAACTATGTCGTCGGCGTATTCTAAGTCAACAAGTGAGCCTCCCGGTAAAAGTTTAACCCCAGGAGATTGAGATGATGAAATTGTTATCTCTAAAAGCATGTCAACGACAAAGTTAAACAAGAATGGAGAGAGTGGACAGTCCTGACGAACACCACTTGAGGTAAATAATCCTGATGACAGTTTGCCATAAGCTCGAACCTTGACGTGTTGGTTGGGCTTCTCTATCGCGAAGGATCAACTGAGCTGTAATGGCTGAAAAACATGCTCCTCTACGTCCTACCAGCCTAACCATGTTGGTTGGAAAACGGTGGAATAAAAGGCAGCAACTTAAGACCAGAGAACGAAGTCGTACTGCTGACTATTAAGGGGTATGAAAGCAGTAAGGTGTTTTGTTCAGAAAATCGATCCTGCCTTCTCACAACGCAACGAAAGGGTTAGGAGAGGTCGGCCCTAAAAATGTCACACCTCACCTTAACCCATGGATTTCCATCTCCAGAGATAGGGCGAAGTTAGTATATCGAAAACTTTCCATAAAAAGCCAGGAGTGGCCGGTCTAAAACAGTTGTACCTTTGGTTCTGCGATCATACTCCTAGACCACTAAAACCACCACAAAACTAGCTTCTTATTCAGATCCTTCAAGAAGAAATATCCTTTCATTGTGTGGTTAACTGAGAAGTGACAACCACTTTCACACTTCGATCAACACCCGAGATTATCATGTAGACGATCGAATCCCTCCCATAGCTATTAATAATACTTTCCCACAACTAACTCTTCTCTCATATCACTAGCACCACGAGCCAACAGTGTTAATGTTTCGAGTTCATGAAATGTTATTACTGGTCTCCCAAAACTACAGTATAAACTACATTATGTGGCGTTCAATAGTGAAACTATCAGATAAGACAACTGTTATATCTCGAACTTAGATTCTTAGTATGCCGCGTAATACTTGAGCACTCGAACGATAGAAGTCTCCCAAGTCGCAACATGAGAAGACAGAAGACTAGTAAGTAGGAATGTTATTCCAAAAAGTGTCAAATATAGTACGAAAATCTCATGTATTTATAGTTTTTTGGCAGAAAGTAAATCATCATTTCGGACAGCCAATAGGCACATAAGGGGCCTTCTTATTTATCTAATAGGGGAGCTACAAGTCGACATATTAGGATGTTCCTCTGGTGGTGGTTGGATGGAATATCTTTGGCTCTTTCTGGGCTTCTTGAGTTGGCCAACCAGCCATTCTTACAACAACAGACTTCCTTAACTAGGGTACATTGAAAGGTGTACCAAAGGAGAACATTACCACTGTGAAGGCTCTCTGCTCAAACACTACTAGTCAAGGCACAGGTTGTGACCAACTGTCATCGGGATTGGTTACTTTAGGTGGCGTTTGTCACGGTTTTTCGTCTTTACCATTTTTATTTAAATGTTATAGACATGCTTTTAGAGATAACTTTCATTGCCTGACTTTTCAGAAGTTGGTCTCCTACCAGTACACTTTGTGACGCAGATGATATACTTCTGTTTGGTGAAGGCTCTGACAAAATGCAATCTTCTGACCAACTTAAGTACCAGTGCAAGTAAGTTTGGGATGCGGTTCTCTTACTTCAAATGCGACACACTACCTCCAGATTGACTTGCGTCGTCGCCTGAATTACTGATATAGAGTCAAGTTGTTGAACCGATCGGCCGCTCTAATGATCTTGGGAACCTCATCAGTCCTGAGAGTCCGATGGCTGACGAAATATCGACTGGCTTTTGCCAACTTGAGTCATTGTGGCATAGGTAAGACATCCGTCTTTCAACCAAAGGGCGAGTTTATTGAGCAGCATTTCACTAAGATCTACTTTATGTATGTAAAACATGGCCATTAAGAAGAAAGGATATTCATACTTTACCGGTATTTGACCACAAGTGTCAACAAAGTATTGCTCATGGATTTCGGGAGCACCGAATAAGCAATACCTGGGTTCGAAATAGAGTACCGGATAAGGAAAAAGGTAGTAAATCTTCATCGACTGAGGTAGTTAAGACATGTCTTACGTATGCTCAACTATGCCTACCTTGACGAGTGATGTCAGTGTGTGAGAAATCCATGGGAGGCAAGACCAAAGTATGTTATTATTCGATGAAATCATTGACTATCGGACTTAACTATGTTAATAGATCTCAACTGCCTGGTTGAAGTACGCGCGATTGTCGTAATCAGTGAATAGAAACTTTGAATGAAGTGGCTCAACACCGTTCGCAATGACACAGATGAATCCGTTCTTTGTCTCCCCTTAAATTCTACGATTCTAAATTTCTTATAACCTTTAGTATTTTTATTTTATTAATTTATATTTTCGTCTCGAATGTATTTTTAATGACTAATTTTTCTCATTACCACTGACACTGTTACTACCTAAACCATTCTGAGATTCTGCCTGATAATTTTCATCTCGCTGCGCAAATGGGACACGGTAACTTGGACCAATGTAAATATGTATCAAGTTCTACGTTAAGACTAACTACATTAACAGAAAAAGCTCTTGATCACTTTCGAAATTTTTTACCTTGATATGATAAAACGGGGAAAAACTAGGACGAATAATTAAAACAGACCAAACTTACGAAAAACAAAAAGACAACACGAGCAGGTAGATCCTCACCTAGTTTCTAGCGTAACCACTTGTCCCCAAACGAGATACAATATTGATGAGACCATAAATTATGCGAGAAATAAGTGCTGGACACTTAGTATGATAAGCTACATTCTGAAGTGCTATACGCAGTTCCGAAAATGCGTTACTGTAAAGAAATTATACGTGAAACAAATTTTGAACCCGGGTAAAATACTTAAAAGTTTGTGCTAATACAGATTTATACGAAATATTTGAGAAATTGGAGCATTATGGTCTTTACACATCATTCATACTAATTATTGAAGTTAACTAAAATAATTGTGAGCACACTGTAACATTCCCAATCGAACCTCATAAAATCGCAACAAAACAAAGGTGTAACCATTGATATCCTTGCTGTTCCTTTACTTATGGGTAATGAGAACTTTGAAAAAAACTAGTTTATGAAACCTAGCTATTGCCAGACTTCACCAAAACGTCGAACAGAACATAGGCAGACGATGAAGTTACGACGATAATGTAAACAGAAATAAATCTGTCCAAAAGCAATCTTATACAACTTTATATCAACTTTCATTTTTACTGTCCGGATTACAATTTTTTGCCGTCTCTAAGGTGTTTGGCAAGACAATCTATATAATCACTTCACATCGACAATTAGAAATATAAGAGACGGAGCAAACACAAGTAACATGCAATGAGTACTAGTCTTATTGAGTAGCGATATGTTTGAAGCTTTGATGAGGGTCATTGAATCATTTTGGAAGAAAACAATAAACGGCAATTGTTAAATAACATATATCAACAGTTGATAACTTACCGAGCATAAGGATTACGCCTTGAATTATAACGCATTTTCAAGAATGGATAATAAATAAAGGGAAGGACAAAAATTCTAGGTCCGGAAACAGCCATAAATACACAGATTACCATCAACATGATTTCATTTAAGGCAATTATACGTAAGATATTTTGATCATGGGTATTCACTTTAACAATCAATTTCTGTAGTATATGATGTACATATGACATATTTGATGAACCAACTGGAGCATCCGAACCATCACTCGTCCCGCCACTATTCAGAGAAACAGATGCCTGAAGCATAAACAAAGAAGTAAAATATATTTTTGTGCTTATAATGAGATTTACAAAGATGAGGGATTTTATCAAATGGACTGATTGTTTGTGTACCATGTTGAAAGTTTTATTTAAAAACGTCTTTCCAACTGAGGCTTGAAAAACAGACATTGCAACCAGTGGATGGTGAATGTATAGAAACAGAGGTAATTATTTCTTTATAGCCCTGATTTTCGATTATGTATTTGCGAAGCGATAGTGGTCGAGAAAGGGGACATTTGATGTAAACAAACAATTTTTATTACTAATTTTCGTTTGTACTTTTTCGTTGTTAAGGTTGAAGACTGGACTTTAATCAGTCACTTTTGGCAAAAGTGCTTCCTGAGCAGATCCTCTTCACAGTTTCACTCAGCAACAAGCAAAAGGCACTGCGTTTGAATCCTGGAGTGAACATTAACATTATGATCCAGATATATGCGGTTGTTTCAAATAAAACGAAAAACATATTCTAGGTTTCAGTGCCAATCATTAGCCACCTATAATTAAACAACTTTCAGTGGAAGATTTCAAAATACCGTCCAGAAAGTAAAGATAACCAAGGACTAAAACAATATTCCAGCAAAAAAAAATCAGAAATTGTATGAATAGTTTATCAGAATACAGAAAAAGGAAGTTTTTATTTCTGTTTTTAAAATGTTGCTATCATATTCTGTTGACCGAAACCAATTACCATGAACCCATTTCAGATATAAGAATATTGTGTTTAATATGATACTGATACATGCATGAGTTTAAAAAAATAGGATAAAAACAGAACTAATGGATGCTAGTCTAGAACTGCAGCAAAGGATTATAGGTTGTGATGTACGATCACTTATAATTATTCATATTATGAAAATAAATTGAGAAAATTCCGAGATATAAACGATGAGGAATTTTAAAAACAACTTACATTTAAAAGAACCCTCGTGAAGCTAGCCACATGTAAAAGGGCGAATAAGAAGATCGGCACCAAGGAAACTAAATCAAAAGAGAAAATTTCATGTGTTAAAACTTATGTCAGTTGGCTTGAAAAACGTTAATTATGGTCCCAGTAGCACAGTTCAATTAAGGACAAAAAACTTGAAACTGAATGCGAATAAATGAAGCTGAAACGGAGAATGACTGGTATAATTAAACGTTTAACATTCAAACATAGTAGCAATGTTGGCTGTCAATGTTGAAAGTCAAATCACTTACTTTCCAAGCATCTGAAAAACCTAACCATGACAGAGGCAGGAGACAATATAAATGAGTTAGACAAAGCCATACCCAATCAAGATCAAGACAGTAAGGGGATATCGATAAGAGAAAGAAAACGTAAGGGTAAAAATGTCAACAGTAGTGAAAGAAAACAAACAAGCAAAACTTTGAGAATAGCAGGTACAGAGACATGCATTTTAACAAGGAAAAATATTCTTTCTCCTCGCGTTTCCGCACGAGTATTCTATGCCAGACGTTCGTTATGACATTTTTGCGTGAGGAACAAACTAATTTGAGTGATTAATGAGACGAACTTGATATTACTGAGCTGGATACATGCGTTGTTTATGAAGGCACATCCATCCACCTGTTAGGGAGCGCCTTTCAGTATAGTTAGGTGAAGAACAATGAATAACTATGCCAGAAAATGTAACTGACTATGACCACATAGTGTCGTACTCATGGTTGTATGTTTTTTAAGATAAAACACAATTCACTGAATTTGAATACCTTCAGTTATAATCCAGTTGTCATTCATCATATCTTTATTACTTTACTATCGTTAATTAAGCCCTATTGTTATTTGCTATGACATATGGTTACTTGAAAATCAAAATGTTTCTAGTTGTGCTTGTTCTTTAGTCTTCTAAATTTATTATATTTTTAAGTTAGTCTGATTATCCGTTCAATTTATCTTACCTACTACTAAATGACCTATAATTTCTAGGAAACACAGTTGCCAATAAATAGAATACTTCAGTCAGTCCCAACGTAGAACTTCGCACGTACGTACATCAGTTCGACTTGTCATACCACATTAACACAGAGGTGCATTTGTCGATTTAAATCCCATAGTGGTAGATGTAGAATAGAATATGTAATTAAGAATATGTAATTCTGAAAATGGAATCATAGTAGAAGAACTATCACTAAAATATTTATAGTCTGAAAACTAATTATCAATGACTTCAGATAACATGAATACTCGTCAAATATTTAAACCTCCAAGAGACCTGCTAGCATGACAGCACAACTTGAGGATTAAATACATACATAAATTAAAGTTGTACTAATTTAAATTTCGGGGAACACGATTCACTCAATACACACATATACCAAACTGAAACTAATCAGCACCTTTTATGTGAACTTCAGTTGTTACACAGAAAGTTTTGGATGATAAAAGTACACTTGAATCAAAACATATGAGGTGTAGAAATGTAGTTTAGGACCATATCAAACTGAAAATGAGTGGCGTTAGATAGATGGTCCAGCAATATAATGCAGAAACAGAGAAGTACTCTTTATAAAATATTTGAGCGACAAGACAAACAAATATTTATCATTAACACCGTGTCAAAAAGGTATACATATTTAACAACATAAAAATGATACCTGTAACTGGTGGCAATACAGCAAACATGATGGAAAACAGTAAGTAGTGGGAAGAATCCTCAGATATTAGGACCTCTAGGACTTCTCGAGAGAAACCTGTATTTAAACTTTTTATTCGTTGATGCAAACGTAGGGCTGAAGTCGCCGCACTTGCTAATAATGCTCTTCGGTACCAAACCTCCAGATCTGACGGATGCAAACGAGGAAAAATCGGAGCAAAGAAGAATACGACACAGCAGAACAGTGTTCCCAAACGAGCAAAGTACATAGCAGTATTGACATAGTCAGACTTTAAACGACCCTGTGAAATACAGAGACATTTTAAGAAAACAATTATTAAGCTAGACTGATACAAGCAGAAGCACGCAGTTTAGTGAATAGTGCAAAAACAGTTATTCTTTTACTAGAATAATGTATACATGCCTATTTAACTGACGTAGAATGTCAAGGTGGCCCGAATATAGATACTTAAGTTACTTATCGTATAATCTATGTCTTTAACGCGTGTGTTGTGTATTACAAGAGTAATAGGTAATTAGCTCAACAAACTAAGCTTCAGCGTCTTCAGTAATAAGGCTAGTAGGTTGATGAACCTGTGTTAATCCTGACAGATTTCCTTCCAGTGAAGGTTCAGCTTTTCCTTGAAAATGTTCACTGATGGGGCTGATACCACATGTTCGGGTAATGAGTTCCAGTCATTGACCACTCGATGAGAAAAACGGGACCCCACCTTTAGTTTATTAGATCGCGGTTTTCGAACTTTCTTGCTATGACCTCAGAGATTATTAGTGCTGGAGGGAGCGAAAAGATAAGACATATTAACACCCAAATCATAATTAAAGATACGAAATGCCAGTATAAGGTCACTGCGTGTCCTACGATAAGACAAGGGGAAAAGGTTTGGACGTTTCAAACGCTCATCGTAAGGGAGTTCAGAAAGACCCTTCACTAATTTTGTCCCCACACGCTGGACACGCTCAAGTGATTTAGTATCCTTTATCATACATGGGCTAGCTGCTTGGATACAGTACTCTAAGTGGGATATAAAATTCAAGACATCTCGTCAAAGCATTTAAATGCTCGGCAATAGCGCACGATAACCTTTGGAAGCAGCCGCGTTGCAGTGCGTAGTAGTTTTCAAGTCATGACTTATAGTTACTCCTAAGTCTTTATGTTCTTGAACGCGTGGAAGAGATGTACCATTAATGGTGTAATGGTAACTATTACCGTGCCCGATATGCATGAGCACGCTCTTCCTGGAATTAATTTCCAGGCCCCAATCATGAGCCCATCTAACTAATTCGTCTAAATCAGCTTGGAGATGACAACGATCAGCCTCATTTCTTATTGTTCTCCAGATTTTGACATCATCTGCAAACACCCCCAAATGCCCTGGCATAGCTGAGAGTGGGGAGAGTCCGCTCTCCCTCTCGAAATGCTCTTACATGGCCACGCGTATACAGCCTCTGCCATGGAAGTCCTACTCACTGCCTTCTCGTGGCATTACTATTGTTTACAAAATTGAGAGGACGGAAAACGAATGTCCGGCGCTTTAACTGGGTTGGTGGACACGGAAAGTTCACCTAATGGAGTTGTTAAACTCTGATTCCGAACCAATGGTGCACATGGGCTCCAGTAACCTGAGGGAACAAATGGCGTATGAACCAATCGTCGGTTACCGGCTACCATGGGACTGCATCTCCTTACGATGCTCCACTGCCTTGTGGATCAGACCTTTAGGTCAAAGGCTCGAGGTGTGGCCCCCTAAGAAAAGCAGCTGCTTCAGTTTGAGCACCTGAGCAGCATCATAGCCCTCAAACAAATCGAATGAGATTTGTGCGGCGCATATGTATCTGGTGCTTCCTTGTACTAATATTTATGTGTTTAAATAAATAAATCATCTGCAAACAATAATGTCGACGACTTTAGTAATACGGAGAATTCATTAACATACAGAAGGAAAAGTAAAGGGCCTATGATGGTGTCTTGGGGTACACCACTTTTGACCGGCTTCCATTCGGATAGCGTTCCAGTGACCCTCACTCTCTGTCTGCGGTCACATAAGAAGCTTCCTATACATTTCTGTATAGCACATATTATTCCAAAGCTCGAAAGCTTCTGCGTAAGACATAAGTGTGAAACCTTGTCAATCTATGAATATCATGTCGACATACAGGCCGTTATCTAGGGCTGCTGTCCAATCCTCTTTCGCAATGAGTAAGTTAGTTAAGCATGAAAGCTTGTTACGAAACCCATGTTGCTCGGAAGTTAACAGATTATTCGAATCTATGTGACTCAGTAGCTTAGCCCGAAATATCTTAAGCAACTTAACGACTATGCTGGTCAGGCTGACAGGCCGGTAGTTAGATAGGATCCGTCTCCGACCGTCCTTAAATATAGGACTAACTATAGCGTTTTTCCAGTCTCTAGGTAGTTGAGCGAATGAAAGGGACATGTTGAAGAGCGACTTATAACTCTATCACTTCTGATACAGATGTAGCCTGAATGATGGGAGAACAGTCTATATCTATAGTGAGCCAAGTTTTGGTGATAACAATTATATCGGGGTTTAATTCGTCCACCATCAAACTTAGCTAAGACATCTTATTTCAAAGACTACGGGCATTCGTGTAATACACATTTAAGGTGTTTTTGGAAACACGTTCTATCCACACAGGTCTCGGAAACATTGGCTTCTAAGACCTGACTACCCGGAAACCTGTTAATCGTAAAGTTCGTTTTGCCGTTTAGCTTTCGAGTTTTTCACTCTGTAAGGGCATTCTTCGACTTCATCCGATCCTCAAGTGACCAGTCTGGTCGGATATGAATATTTGAATTACGAATTTTGCGTGCGTTATTCAATATTACGTCTCTTTCCTCAAAATTACCGAGTACTAACCTTAAGATCCTTCTCTGTTGGGTCTCTCCTCCAACATATTTACCGAGCCTGATTACCTTCGTGATATGCAGCCCTGAAACCTCTTCGGCGAATATACATCTGATGACAGATTCCACTGACTGCAGATGGTGTGCACGTCTTTTCAGTCAGTCAGTCAGCTACAACGTAGGACCAGGCACATATATGCATCGGTCCAAGTTGCCATACCTCGTTAGCACAACAAGATGAACACCGAATTCATAGAAGTAGTTAATTTAATGGTGTTAATATAGAAAAGAAAAGTTGTATATAAAGATATAGTATAGGAAGGAAGACATATGAGACAATTTTAATCTCAAGGTTTAAGGGAAGATAAAGAGTGTATACACCTGCGCCATTGTGATCGATTCTGAGTCATGTCACACAGAGTCTCCAACCATCGGTCACGATAGTCACGCGGATAACAACCAGGTAGTCTGCATCTACCAACATGGCTTAGGCTAGAAGTTAGTGACTTCAAGCACTGATGCCATGTTTTGGTTTGGCCGCCCCTAACTCTCTTCCAACCATCCCCTACACTAGTCAACATTGCGCGTCGTGGTAACCGATGTTCAGGCATACGTAACACGTGACCCAACCATCTCAGTCGATGAAAATTCATCACATCAACTGATTTACCATCATTCCCTAATACCCTGCGTCTAACCTCACTATTACTTTCCCGGTGATCCCAGCAGATGCGAGCAATATTTCTAAGGTATCTGTGGTCAAATATTAGTAACTTACGAGTATCTTCTACTCTTAATGGCCATGTTTCGCAGCCGTAAAGTAGAACAGAACGAACTGCCGCGCAGTATACTCGTCCCTTAATTGATAGACGGATAACTCGTCTTCGCCATAGGTGACGTAAGTTGGCAAAAGCCAAACGAGCTTTTTGAATCGGTGGAGAGATTTCGTCAGTCACCAACCCATTAGGGCTGATCAGACTTCCAAGATAAGTGAAGTTGTCGACGCGTTCGACTACTTCACTCCCTATCCTTAGTTCAGGTGTTGACGCAGGCCAGTCCTGGAGTAACAATTTACATTTGGATGGGGAGAAACGCATCCCAAACATCCTGGCATTATTACTCAGTTCTAACAGAAGACTCTGCATTTTGCCAGCGTCTTCACCAAACAGGACTATGTCATCTGCGTATTCTAAGTCGATAAGTGAACCTCCTGGTAGAAGATCAATTCCTGAAAATTCAGTCGACGAGAGTGTTATTTCCAGCAACAGGTCTATAATGAAGTTAAACAAAAATGGGCATGTCTTTTAGCAGGTCGTTGTATTTCGACTCTTTTAGATTCCAAATAATTACACTAGGGACTTGTTTAATCAGTCAGTCAGTCAGCTACAACGTAGGACCAGGCACATATATGCATCGGTCCAAGTTGCCATACCTCGTTAGCACAACAAGATGAACACCGAATTCATAGAAGTAGTTAATTTAATGGTGTTAATATAGAAAAGAAAAGTTGTATATAAAGATATAGTATAGGAAGGAAGACATATGAGACAATTTTAATCTCAAAGTTTAAGGGAAGATAAAGAGTGTATACACCTGCGCCATTGTGATCGATTCTGAGTCATGTCACACAGAGTCTCCAACCATCGGTCACGATAGTCACGCGGATAACAACCAGGTAGTCTGCATCTACCAACATGGCTTAGGCTAGAAGTTAGTGACTTCAAGCACTGATGCCATGTTTTGGTTTGGCCGCCCCTAACTCTCTTCCAACCATCCCCTACACTAGTCAACATTGCGCGTCGTGGTAACCGATGTTCAGGCATACGTAACACGTGACCCAACCATCTCAGTCGATGAAAATTCATCACATCAACTGATTTACCATCATTCCCTAATACCCTGCGTCTAACCTCACTATTACTTTCCCGGTGATCCCAGCAGATGCGAGCAATATTTCTAAGGTATCTGTGGTCAAATATTAGTAACTTACGAGTATCTTCTACTCTTAATGGCCATGTTTCGCAGCCGTAAAGTAGAACAGAACGAACTGCCGCGCAGTATACTCGTCCCTTAATTGATAGACGGATATCTCGTCTTCGCCATAGGTGACGTAAGTTGGCAAAAGCCAAACGAGCTTTTTGAATCGGTGGAGAGATTTCGTCAGTCACCAACCCATTAGGGCTGATCAGACTTCCAAGATAAGTGAAGTTGTCGACGCGTTCGACTACTTCACTCCCTATCCTTAGTTCAGGTGTTGACGCAGGCCAGTCCTGGAGTAACAATTTACATTTGGATGGGGAGAAACGCATCCCAAACATCCTGGCATTATTACTCAGTTCTAACAGAAGACTCTGCATTTTGCCAGCGTCTTCACCAAACAGGACTATGTCATCTGCGTATTCTAAGTCGATAAGT